TATAGATATAATCCAATAACTCAATAAAAATTAGCTGCAAAACAGTTTTACGATTTAGTTATCTATTTTTATGTTACTGTAGGATCCTCTTAGACGGAGTATACTTGATGGTTCGACTATTATGAATCAAATCCGTGTGTTATAAGAAATTAGTAGAGCTAAATTAAAAACCAGTAACAAATAACATCACTGTCCTTAAAGAAGCTATTTTATTAAAAAAAATATTTTGATTTGAAACGGACACGGGTCGCCAGTGGGTGATAAATTCTGTATTACACTACGTAATAACGATTAAATTTGCAATTAAACAGAGACAAATGTGATAAACTTTGCAGTCACAAACGCATTTGTAGGTACCTGTGTGGTAACTGCAATATATTTAAACTATAGCAAAATGTCAGGTCATTGAACCACATTGCAAGTACCTTTGCCAAGTGATTTAAATATATAAATTTTCACATGATTTCATCCGCAAAGATGCAATTAATTAATAAAATGTCAGATGCTTTTTTAAGCCGACTAGCGCCCACTACGTTGATCGTTGTTGGCTCACAATCCGCGTCAACAAAAACATGAAACTTCTACTTTTTTTTTGTTAACAACTGCAGTTTAAATAAAATATTTTCGGTGTTTTGCTATGCATTTTAAACTCAAAATAAAATATAGTATATATATGGATGACGTTAAAGAAAAACTTAAGATGATGACAAATGGAATTTACCTGAATTTGCAAAATTTGAAAAATTAAAATAATTTAAAAAGTAGGTACCTAGAAATCTTGATTTTTCTTATCTACTACTGATTTTTTGAATAGTTTTGATATTTTCCACTGAAGATGTCAGCCGCAGTTGTAGACGAAACCTAATTCATTCCGGCCCTGCAGGTCATTGTTTTTGTACTGTAATTACTTTTTTATTTTCAACAACAATATATGTGTGCAGAATGGTTTTTTAAAAATATTTAAATACAAAATGCAAATACTTCTTTAATTTGTTATTTCAAATATAAAATACAAAATAATTTCCCTTTTGTATTTTAAATGCTAAAAGCAAAATACGTTATTTTCAAAATACTTTTTTCAAATAAATACTTTTTTGTAGTAGGTACAGGTACCTATTTAATTTTCCACATTTACCTAAATATAAAATATTTTTTAAGAAAACCTTGCAGGCATTTGCTAATTTTTTAAATATTGGAGTTTTTCTAGTCTAATAGTTGTGTTTGCACTATATCATCAACTGAAGTGATTGAGATATAGTTTTTCTACCTTTATGTTATAGTTTCATCAGTTCAGCAACAAATAATTCTTCTATATGCTTCCTTATTTGCTTTTGTCACCGTGTTAATTGGAAAAAAGACACTGATGCCAAAATAGTTTGCTTAGCGTGAAAGATCAGAGCCAAAATAGGGTTGCAAATAATTTTATTGATGTAAAATCACCATCAATTATTTTATATCAAAATATTTACAACTTTATTTTGTTTTTAATCTTTTACACATTGTAATTAGAGAATGAAATGGAATTTATAGTTTCTTTAGCTTTAGGCTTATCTAATAAGTAAGAAGTTTCGAATCATTTTCTAAGAATTTTGTATTATATGCATTTATTAGCACACCACAATATCTTGTAGTTTTCGGTTTTACACAGCTGGCGTATATCAATTCGATATTGTTTTGCGGGCTGTTTTGTCGTAATTCATAGAATTTCGTAGTTACTTGCTAAAGGTACGGTAAGTAGTGATTTGGCAGGTGCTGATATCAATTTGGAACTTCAAAATTCTATGGACCATGACGTTGAACCCGGAAAACAATATCGATCCAACATTATCCATTTCCAAGGAGTTTAGATTTTTTTGATCTCTCTTCAGTTAAAGAATTAGAAAGCATTCATGGAATATCTCTTTGCCCCCTTTTTAAACTTATTATACCTTTAATAGCTAATGTCAGCAACTTTCATTCATCATTTTATATAAATGTTTGATCGGTGATACTAACAAAACTTTTACAGGCAAAAATGTATTTGCATTTTACAAATATAAAATACATTTGGAAAAGAATTTTAAATAAAATACAAAATGCTTTTCTCAAAAAAGTATTTAAATGCAAGATAAAATAAT